ACTATCCAGGCTTGGTTTCTTCTTTTTGCCCCCTCCTGCCTGCCTTTTCCCCTCTTCTGGAGGTGTGGAAGGGAAATAAAACTCTGCTTGTCACAGTCAGTTTGCTCCTTGTCTACAGCTCTGGTAAAAAGCAGAAGAGGAAGCTATTGCCCAAGATAAAAGTTTAGATAAGATGTGAGGATTATCTATAAAACTCATTTATTCATGGCTACCCTCCCAATCACCTGAAGGTAATGGGGGATGTCTTTATCATGAATTTTTTTCAAAAGTTAAGAGCAAAATTTTCAGTCATTTCTAAGAGCTGGTCAAAATAACTTGATGAGATACAACTAGTATAGCTTCTTCATGCTTTGGTGATATAAAGCTAGTGTAGCAGCTCAGAACAGCTGAGTATGCATTCCACTTTTGAACTCTGAAGCAAGCTATCTCTGGAAATGGAGACTTTTCCTATCTTCAGGTAGTCAGGGAAATAATTTAACTCATTCTCAGGTTAATCTCAGCAGTTCTTCTGAATGAGTGAGAAGAAGCACATTAAATGGATAAGCGTTTTCAAGTAACTGAAACTAATTTAACGGGGGCGCGGGGGCATCACCTTGCTAGAGATCCAGCAAGTGGATCACTTGTGACTCAAGAATGTGACAGAGACCTGGCAGGCTTTCTGGACTCTTACCCTCTTAGCTCCTTTGGTTTCTTAATCTATCCATTTTTAGTTCTCTCATGTATACAGTAGCCCTTTTGCCTTCATTTGCCTCTTTAGATACAAAGTAAGGGAAACAGCTGATCAAGGGTTCTAAATTCCCACTTTTCCTGGGTCAACCTGTTAGAAACAGGGAAAACTCTAATAAATAAAATTCTCAAGAGACAGCATTTGATGAACCCAGATTTGTTCAAGTATCTGTCTGATGGGAATGATCTAATTTGAAGGTGGAATAATGAATTCAAATATGGCTACTGGGCAGAGAGGTAGCGCTCAGAAAGAGTGGGTAAAGGAATGTACGAGGACTCCAGTGTTTATTAATCAAACAAAAGAAAAGAGATTGCTCCCAATCTGGAGACAAAACTTACATGTGTTGAAAGACAATTAAAATTATTTAGTGTCAAATGGAAAAAAAACTCTAACTTGAATGAATTCTTAGGAAATAACTAAAGTGGCTCAGCTTCAGTAGAATAGAGAAAATATATTTAGGATGTGCATAAAATAGTCCCCACAACACAGCAGTAAAAATAAATGAACTATTGCCACACGTTTAAGTATAGATGAGTCTGAGAAGTGTAATGAGGCCAGAATATAGTAGTGGTACATGCCTATAATCTGAGCCCTTAGGAGACTGAGGCAAGAAAATCACTAGTTCAAGGCCAGCCTGGATACAGAGACCTTGTCTCAAAAAACAAAACCAAAATACATAATGGCACATTAAAAAAAGTCACAGAAAAGTATATACCAGGTGATTTTATTTGTATAAATTTCCAAAACATGCAAAAGTGGATAAAATATTATTTAGGGGTGTGTGTGTGTGACACAACTATGAAGAAGAGAATGCTGGGCTAAATTCACAGAAGTGGTTGTGTATGAGGTAGGGCAGGAAATGTGATCAAGAAGAGATACAGCTTCACATATCTAGGGTAGAAAGGAATTCATAGGAACCAAGGTAAGAATCTACTAAGATGAGGAGTGGATTTGATGGCATTAATTTTATTATTTAATCTATATTTATGTACTTTTGTGTATATGATCTATTTTGTAATTTTTTAAAAGTAATGAATGTAAGCATCTAAAACCATTTCCCTGACCCAGTGATGGTTGACGTGATTGTGCTCATGTGCTTGGGGTCAACGCAAATGATTTTCTGGTTTTGTCTGTGTGATAAAGAACGTGTCCATGGCAGTGATGGTGAAACTTTTAGAGATCAAGTGCCCAAAATGCAACCCAAAACCCACTTATTTATCACAAAGTGCCAACACTGAAATTAGACCTAAACACTGAAGTTTTAGTTTAGAAAAAACAACTCATATATTTAAAGAAAAATACAATAGCAGGGCTTTAAATGATACAAACAACCTGCGGCAGCACATGTGGGACAGATTTTGCCACCACTAATCTGAGGTGTCCTGGTGCCCAAGCTAGAGAGTGTTTGAGGTGCAGCCATGCTTTTTCTACGTCCTCTGGCCCGATATCAAACTGCAGCAATTATTGGTTTCTATTCCCAACTCAAATATCCCAATCATCTGCACCTAACAAAGCTAACTGCTCAGCATTCCCATCAAAATAAGATTACAAATTACTTGGCAGTTTCTTAAGAGACCAGACATGGAGCTAACCCAGCAGTTTTACTCCCAGGTATTTATCCAAAAGAATCAAAGGCAGAGACCCAAACAGACAAAAATGTATTTGTACACTGTTGTTTCTAGCAGCACTATTCACAGTAGTCAAAAGGTAGAAGCAACCTAAGTATCCATCAGTAGATAAGTGGATAAACAAAATGTGTTACATCCCCAAGCGTGGAATATTAGTTACCCTTAATGAGAATATATGAGCACCTACCTTATGGAGTTTGATACCGTGGGATCCTGTCTGTAGTAAAAGAAATCTTTGGTTACAGGGCTGAATGAGTCCCTGAGCTTCCTCCAGCCTGGACAGAGAGAGACAGGCCAGAGAGGTGGGTCTAAGAGATCTTAACTGTATCAGAACACTAGAGGATCCTGCAGAGGTGTGGCAGCCACTGCAGTTCTGTGTTCCTGACTTGAGAATGCTGCACTCCGTGGCTAGTTGTCCTCCAAAGAAGAAAGGAGCAGGGATAATGCATTTGATCAAGTACATCTTTTGGGTTTTTTTTTGTGTGTGTTTGTTTGTTTCTGTTGTTTTAGTTTGCCAAGGTTAATTGATTGCCACTAACATGAAGAATTCCCTATATTTTTTTAAATAAGCAAAGATCACCCCTAGACTCAAGGGATGGGTGGGAGAGGGAAACGTCAGGGCTGGGTAGGCTAGGAGCTGAAACAACATAGAGCTACAGCTGGCCTAAGGCAGAAAGAAATTCCACATGGGAGCTAAGGCCTAGAGGCAAGTTGGCCTAGCACAGCCGAGAGGGTCACATAAAGCCCTGGAGACTGTTGCCTTTTGTAGACCCTTCCCACAACAATATCAATATAAAAATTAATTTTAATAACCTCTATGCTGAACTTGTTTCTCCTTAGCTAAAATGTAAGTGTTTTTATAGGTCCTAAAAAGCTTTTTTTTTTTTTTTTTATGTGAGGAAAAAGGTTTCACAAGCCCCTCTGAGCACCTAGGACCCCAGGTGCCATGTCTATATGTGTAATATAAAATGGCCTTGTGAGAGACTGGGATACACTACCTTATACTTCTGTTCCTTGGCTCATTCTCTTGGGGGTAGGAAAGGACTGAGATCATCTTGTGCCACCTCCCACACCCTGTGCAAGCAGGAATCCCACCAAGGCCTCCTGGAGGAGGGACTTTTTTCCCTTCAGGAGAAGGGTCTAATCAGCCCCTGCCATCTGCATCCACTCTAAGTGTAAAAGCAAGTTCTCAATATTGAGCTAAAATCTTCACACCTGTAACTTTTACCGTGGCTCCAAACTCTGGAGCAACACAGAGCAGGTTTTAAGTCCTTGAAATACTTGAAGACTATTCTGTCTTGTCACTACCCCTCAGCTGAAGTTCTGTGCTCCAGATTAAACACATCAAGATTTTGTGACAGGAGTTGTGCATCCATCATCCTGCCACACACCCTACTACAGACAAAATCCAAATACCCCCCTGGATGTGATCTGATCATTTCCTCCCTTCTTCCCTCCCTCTTTTCCTTCCTTCTTTTATTTTCAGTCATCAGGTGTAAGGCTGGATATTCTGGAACAACCTTCCAGGAGAGAAGAGTTATTCTGGCTACATGGTGGCAAGGCCAGTGCCTTGGTGAGGGTAGCCAGGAACAGCTAGTGGTGATAAAGAAAACCAGCAACCTATGAGGGAACCGCTATCTACTTGGAATTTCTTTTTCTGCTCTGCAGTTCCCTTGTGTTATAGTGGACCCCTCAGGAGATGCTGTTAAACTATTGCCTGTTTCTGCTGTGCTTTAGGGAACCATGAGAAACCTTGGAGATGGCAACATGGAGACAGATCATGAGGTGCTAACCAGGAAGGGAAGGAGTGAAAGACAGTAAGAAACACCAGGGGTGGACTTGGAGAACAAGAACATATTCCTAGGGAATCCCTGGAAGGCGGGGTGGGGGCAGCTGGATGTTCTCACATGGGTTACTCTAAAAGAGTAACCTTTGAGGCATTAGTAACAGTGGGAACACAGGGACATAAAAGCTTAGCCCCAAGAGGATTTCCTTCAGACACTGTCAGTTTACTGGCTGATATGTTTGGGCGTGGACTCACATCCACGGTATTCAGCCAGTCCAACATCCCTGAGTTATACTGTTATCACCCTACTCACTCGACGACATCTTCATACCCTATGGACTTGGGGGGTTTCTTTTTCATTACAAAAGAATTCTTCCCTCTTCATGAGAATCTAAATGATGCAGAAGTATATTGGATCTAAGTGATACAGAAGCATATTGGAAGTATCTTTTGTCAAATGTGACGTTAAAGTCAAGATGTGCCAAGTTTGTGGCATCTGTCAGCTCACTGAGAATGAGGCTCTCTGCTTTCATCTCTGTCCTAGCTCTCTCTCTTCCAGTCCTGAGAGCTATTAGCATAATCATCTGGAACGGCTGAAGACACTCAAACTACTGGGAGAGTCACACTCACTTTTAAGTTCCCCAAAATGGTGTTGTCAGTTAGCAAAATATTATTGAGAGCCAAACCAGAGTTTTATGAGTGGGGAAAGAAACATTTAAAAGAATACTGTATTAGCATATATGGCAAAATGTTGACTTTTTTTTTTTTTTTTTAGACAGGGTCTCACTATGTAGTTAAGACTGACCTGGAACTCACTACGTAGCCCAGGCTGGTCTCCAACTCACAGCAGTCCTCCTGCCTCAGCCTCCCTAGTGCTGAGATTACAGGAATGCGCCACCACGCCCGGCTTGTTGACTTTTAAATTACTACAAATAAGGTAATAGGCATCTGTTGCTTTTACCTGCCTTGCATCCTTTTCTTCCTCTTTTGCAAATAGCACCCCAATTAGCAGTGGGGAAGCCACTCCAGATACCACCAGAACTGACCCAAGTGGCCTAACAAAAATGATACGTCCTTCAACTGCAGTGATCTTAGACAGGGACAGGGATCAAGGGGCCAGCCCAGTCAGTCTTAGAACTTTATGCCCACATTATTAGCAAAAAAGGGCTCTACACCTGTAGAGGTAAAGAAGAGTTGCTGTATTGGAAGTAGCCTGAACTTACATAGCTACTATCACCCCTACTCAAGAGCTCTGACAGAGGAAAAGGCCAGGCTGAGAGCTGGAGAGACTCAGGCACCAATGATACCATTTGCTCATAGTGACCCAGGGTACCTGAAGTTATCTTGGAATCTTCTATCTGAGCCAGTTTGAATGGAATTTCTTTCCCTGACAACCAGAAGAGGCTAGAATAAGGTCACCTTTTAACAACCACACTAAAAATTACCTTCCTGAAAAAAATAATTAGACTGATAATTGCATTTATCTATGCTATAATTTATCATCTCTTAGCTAGGAGATTATGAGTGGGATACTTTGAAGCTATTTGAAATTCTGAGTTAATGAAAGTCTGATAATACTGAAGCAACAATTGCAAGGTATTGTATACATGAAGAAAGCATGTTCTTGTGTTGTATTTAAGATGTGTGGAAAACACCTTCAGTTCTTGATATAGAAGAAGTTGGGGCAATAAACTAACCTGTCAGACTTCAAATTGAAAGAAGCAAACAGGCTGACAGTATTTACATTGGAGTTGCATTTGGTGGGTTTACTGTCTTTCCTTACATAGGACACAGCCCTACCAAATCATCCTTGGTTTGAAAGAGGCTGTGCATTGACAGTAGGTGACTGGTTTGGTCTGGATTGAAATACCAGCATCATATTTCACCAGTCATTTTTACTTTTTTTTGTTGAATGGATAACTTTCTTGTTGGTCTTAAGTCACTGATGACAGGTGTGAGCCAAGTCTAAATTGTAACTTTAGATATGACACTGAATCCTTGTGTGGCCTGGGGGGAAAAAGCCTCTTAACCTCTTGGCCTCAGTTTCTCTGTCTGCAAAATAAGGCTCATAATCCAAACTGAGATGCTTCATTGGACTGTTGTGTGCATTAATTACTATTTATAGAGCAAGTGGAAGTTGGGTTGTGTTAATTATTATTATCATTCCTGGGTCTTCCAGCCAAGTTTAAGCCAAGCCTTCACCTTGCTTTTAGTTCCTGGTATCTGACAAGATACAACCTAAGGCCACAAGGAGGGCCATAAACCAAAGGCTAATGAGCAGATTATGCATATCACACCTTAATAAAGCATTTGGTCCAAAAAGGCTCTGCCAGTCACAAGCCCTTGGCTTTGGGGCTCTGGGCTTCTTTAGAACTTAATTCTAAGAGAGCAAGTGTTCAGAAACTGCTGCCACACTCCTGTCCTTTGCCTCTTTGTGAACCTGCCATTTAATTTACTAAGAAGTCTGGAGATCAATACAAGGATCTTACCCTGTCATTAGACAAGGCCCTAAATTGCAAGTTGCAGGTGGAGGAGCTTCAGAAGTGTTGTGATCGCTCATGAAGAAAGATGACTAATGCTTTCTTCTGGTCACTTATTTAGCTTATGACTTTAGTTTCTATTCTCTAGGTACAACAGTTATCAGAATGTCATGGATCTAGGTAGTAACAATCACTCCATTCAGTTTCATTTAATACACTGTAGGTTCTGCCACATCACATAGTCCAAGTAGCCTAGTCATGTCTTTCACTAAATAAGGAGATAGGTGAAGAAGAGAAAGCTCATCTCATCTCACCAGTCACCATCTCCATCAGCATTGGCGTTATTGAGTCTGGGGGGATACCATGTGTTTAACCTTTTGCAGTGAGCTTAATCTCCACATATCCAATGCAAGTTGGATAAACAATTCCAGCAGATTTGGATCTTGGCCTCACACAGAAGCCTATAGTTTAGAAAAACAATAGCACAATACACCAACGTTCCCAAAAGCAGGGGAATTCATCTACTGAAGGTTTGAAGTAATCTGCCTTGGGCACAGTGCAACCTATCTCTTATGAGCTTGCTAGGAGGCAGAACCCAGCACAGTTGATAGGGAAATACTAAGCCCTCTGCAAGGTAGTACCCTTACCCTCTCAGTAAATTAAAGCCAGCTGGCCAATGGCTGACCATGCCCCTGCCTGTGAACCTAACATGTTCTTCCAGGGTTATACCCACTGCTGTTTCACTGACTTGCAACTGTCTCCTTCCAGATGCTCCTTGGTGCCAGCACCCACCCCTCCTACCCAAGCCAGCTCTCACTTTCCCCTAGCAAACAGGCAGGTCCTGCCTGGCTCTTTTGCCTGCTCAGCACAACAGGCAGAGTCAGGGTGGTGGTGAGTGCTAGTTAACTAATTAATGATTGTAAAGCACTTTGAAAACACAAAGAACTAGATAAATGGCAAGTATTATTGTTATTAATGATGAGGAGGCTGTTTAGTCATCCTTTGCCCTGAACTCAGCTCACTGCCCCCACTGTGGCCACAGGCTGATTTGTGAACTAGGATGAGAATTCTCCTCCTCCCTGCAGGCGCTGTTTCACACTGAGTCAGTGACCAAAGTGAAGGGCAGGGGCCAGGAAACCTCTCTCCATCTCCCACCTGCTCTCAAAGCACTGCCTGCTTTGCGGCTGTCAGACCAACATTTACCGAAAGCGGGGTCTGAAACCGCCTCTCTTTTCCCATTCACCTGTTCAGTAAGTTCACTGATGTTTACTTGAGTTCTTGATTATGGCGATTAGATTTCTGTCCCTCTTTGAGGACAAAATGGTGCTGAAGGTGCAACCGCACTTCCCACCTAATGAATGGATCACTTATGCCAATGATAATGATCTCTTTTACATGTTTTTTGGGCTGTGTTTCTTCCAAATACTTCCTTGTAAGTTTGTTCTTTTGATATAATAATTCTGTTGGTTAGAGAGACAGATATTAATTTTCCCATTTTATAAATGGGAAACTTGAGACATGGGGACATTATAAGCCTGTGTAAGTCCCCAGGGCATTTATAATCTGGTGACAGGGCCAGGATTCACCCCTGTTCTTCTGAGCTTAAGCTAAGTAGCATCCTCTGACACGAGGGTGAGCAAGAAAATGTGAAACATTCTTTATAGATTTAGGCTGAGCAAACCCTTCCACGGGCATCCACATCTTCACAGTCATCTCACCTGAAGCCCTGGCCGCTGGGTAATAATTAGAAGTACTCTGTGTCCTGCTTGAGGCTTGTAATCTGACTTTGTAGAGAACATCAGGACCAGAAAAACCCTAGAATCCATCCATAGAACTCCCTAAGGTCCAGGGAAACTAAATGATGGCACAGCTAGTTAGGGGTGAGGCTTGACCCAAGCTTTCCCTTCTCTTCTGCGTGGCTTCTCACTCAACAACATCTGGTTCTGTGTTGCTAGGTGCTGAGGTTCCAGGTAGTATCACCAAATGTAACCAGCAGGCAAATCATTGTTAGATATATAAAAATGAGAGTATTCATGCAAACATGTAACTCTCCCTTGGCATGTTAGTCATCAGAATAGCCCATCTGAGCATTGATGGTTTTCTTCTTGTATCTTAATTCTCCAAAAGGAGGCATTCTGAATGCCACAGACAGTCTGAATCTAGGTCTAAGAGCCCAAAGCTAGGGCCATGGGGTCTGACTGCTGGGGGATGATTGGCCTGAACCAACCACTAGGTGAAAAGCAGCCTCCCTCTGTGTGTGTGTGTGTGTGTGTGCGTGTGTGTGCGTGTGTATGCGTGTGTGTGTGTGCGCGCGCGCGGGTGAGCTGAGGGGGGTCCCCTGTTGCTATAATGGTAAGACTCAAGGCCTCCAGAAACCATTACAAAAGCCCTTCAGTGACTGTGAGATCCAGCTGTGTCTCTGCTACCTCTACACACTGCACTCCCTCAAGTGAGACCTGTGGCCTCCTGCTGTGGCCAGAGGTGCTGTGAGATCCCCCCACCTTGAGTAATTTTCATTTTTTTAATTGTTGGTATATCTTCATCATACATAATGAATTATATCTGTCCTGGGGAGTTGGTGTATATACATATTGCATCTCAATCATTTTTACTTCCACTTTCATCCCCTCACCCCTGCCCCATCCCCATATGAAGTTTCTTTTTTCAAAGTAGTAATTCATGATGTGGCTACTATTTAAAAATTGCATTGTCAGAATTTGTGAATTCAAAAGTGCATTTGAGGTGCTATCTTGGCCGGGGGTGGAGCCACAGACAGAGCAGCCAGGCACAGCCTCAGGTTCTGCCCTCTCTTGCCCTCCTGTCCCCTTCTCAGGTCACAGCAGCCCCTTGAGCTGTCACAGCTGCTGCCCATGCCATGAGGCCACACCTCTGTCCATAGGGCAATACCAGGAAACTGATCCTTTTCACTGACTTTTGAGGAGATGCTTTATCCTGAAGAATGTTGGAGTATCTGGAGAAAGCAGAGGAGACATCCGGGGGAAACCAGGCAGACCCAGCCAGAGGCATCCGACTCCCTGGAGAAGTGGACAGTAATTCAGGCGTGGACTGGAAAAATAAAAAACCTCTTTTGTGTTTTCTGGCCTGAGTATAGCATAATTCACATGCTCTAGTGATGAAAAATAAAATAAAGCATAAAAGAAAAAGAAAAACAAAACAATTTTCCAAAGCCAGAATTGCCACCTGTCAAGACATCTCCCCTTTGTAGCACAGCTAATGTGGATTGAAAACTTAGTGTGTCAGATACTATTCCATATGGTCTTTAATTTAATTGTCTTATCAACTGAGAAGTTTAATCTCACAGAAGAGGAAGCTAAGGCACAGAGAGGATACACACAGCTAGTAGATGATAGAACTAGGATTTGAATTGTGTCCTTCTGGCTCCAAAGCCTGTGCTCTTTCCCTCTTTGGTGTTTAGAGACCACAGTACCATTAGCATCTCTGTAATCTTCATCAGTCCCCTCAGTCTCAGAGTTGAAGGGAAACAGAAAATATTCAGGGGTCCCTTGTGAGCCTGGAGGAATTGTTCAGATGTCAGGAAGGTGGAGAGCTAGTGTGTGCTGTTATGCATCGAGCCACCTGTCTAGGGATTGCGTGCTGGACGGCATCCTCAGCACAGAGAAGGAAACCTGCCTAGGGCCTCTGCTGCAGAAAGAGCCAGACCTCCAGGTGTCTTCTCAGGATAGAGAAATCCAAGCTTCCTCAGCAGGGAGAGAGACTACAGTAGTTCAGAATTGTTTCAGCCACTTGTGATCTGAACATCTCCACAACCTTTTCACTTCCATCCAAATCCACTTACTGTGCTTTTTTCCATCCCTCTCATTTTATAGCCATACAAGCATGGGTACCCAAAGTAAAGAATTGCTAGAATACTTCCCACACATTTGAGAGTCTGGTGGAGGCTGTTGTGCCTTTGCTTAGCTTTGCCTGGCTTAGCCTCTACTGTTTGACTCCTGCCCAGATACACTTAACTAGAATATTCTTTCAGCAGGAAAGCAGCAGCACCACATGATCCAGGTCAAGCATTGTGGACTCAGCCTTGAATATTGATCCTATTTTACATCTGCCTCATCATTGTGAGGACATTTCACCCCCACCCTCTGGAGAGTGATGCTGGTGGAGTATAACTAGCAGGAAAACTAGGTGAGTCAAAGCATCGTGCTCACAGTAATACCGGAGAAAGCCTTTCATCAGGCCATCTCAAAGCATGTGTGGAGGGTCATTATTCTTCACCATACCTCTGCTTGGGAGATAAGTGTGATTGCTTTGTTTTTATAGATTGGGTCAAGGGAACATGGAACTGTTAAATGAACTTCTTCAGCCTGCACTTTCCGCAAAGGGCTGGGACTGAATCCTAGGGTGATTCCACTTCTGAAGTGGAAATAAGCAGAGAGGAATACCAGGTTCAACGAGCAGAAGTCAGGCTCTTGTCCCCTGGGCCCTTCCTCTCCCTATCGCACACATACTTTCCCCAGTGCGTACTACAGGTGGTTACTGGCAAAAGGTATCAAGAGGATCTCAAAGACTTAAGAAGTCAAAGAAAGGGGGAAGACTAGAAGAGAAAGAGAGTGAAAAGCAATAAATAGCCCAGGAGGAGGTTAGAGGTTCTCTCTGATTTCCTGTAAGTATCCTCCTACCGGCCGCATGTGAGGAAACCAAATGTCATGAGAAGCAGTGAAATTGTCACCCTCAGGAGGTGGGGCCTTGAGGCAAAAGGTCAGAATAATCCCTTCTCTAGCAAAGCTGATGTCCCTATACTATTTTTAGAATTTCCTAGAATTTGCCCCCTATTTTTAGAAATGCCTACAATTTGCTACCTTGATGTGATATAAGAATGCCAAAGAATTGCAGCTTATTACCCAGAAGGGCAAAGTCACACTTCTTTCCACACTTCTTTCCACCTTTGCTGATGGGCTTCTGAGAGGTGCACACAAAACAGATATTAGCAAAATACAGAACACTTTGCACACACTAGAGCAACTAATAGTTAAAGTCTTGGGTGGAGAATCAAGGCAAAGAGCCAGTCATTACCCCACCCAAGAAGTTCAAGGTTAGTCTAGTGGTTAGGAGTATGGGCTTTGAAGACTTGCAAACTCAAGCTTCAATGCCAGCCCCAGCTCCCACCGTAGCCATGTTACCCGGACCAGTGGCTTGACCTCTTTGAGCCTCAGTTTCCTCATCTGTTAATTAGAGCTTGTCATGCCCTCCCTTTCAGGGTGTTTTTAAGAGTTATGTGTGATAATACTCTTTCCTAGTAAGCATTCAAGGAATAGCAGCTGCTATTCTATTCTTAACTTTTGCATAGTATTAAAAGAATATCTCTTCTACACGAGTGGAGAGATCATTTCATCACTCAGTTTCATTAGGGATCTAAAATATACCATTCCTTGGATTGTAGAGTTTCCTATAAGTGTTCTACAAGTCTATGAAACAGGCCCAATTTTGCTTGGCCCAGAAGGTCCTTGTTCTTTTGCTCCTCACTAACCCCAAGGATAAGCAGGCCCTAGTTTATTGGCCCTTTCTCGTGCTATATCATACCTTCCCCAGTGCACATGAAGTATGGTTATTAGCAGAGAGTTGCAAGATTAAGATGGCAGCTCCTATAGTCTTGGGCTGACCCATCCAGTCACTGAGCTCACACCCATGGTTTTTCTAAAGGACCGGCATTGTTTTCCTTACAAAGGAGGGTCTGAGCAATGATTGGACTTTTTTTAGTACCCCTTTAAATATCTGATAAATGTTTTAGCCTTTTCCCTCTTAAAACATGCATATGTACACAAAGTTTGTACTGTTCATTCTCATTATTCACAGTACTTATATTCTATGAAGTCATCAGGAGCACTGAGTTGGCAAATCCTGAGTTATTCCTCCCAAAGGAAACACACTGTTGGGTTTTTATAAGCCTACATGTCTCAATATTTTTATCAACTAATCAATTCATAACCTTATTTCATGTGTGTGTCTTTGTAAAGACTCCTTATTTTATGTTTATTATTGACTCATTATCTGAAAACTCACAAGTAACAGCACTATAACTCATGACTAAATGAAGCTTATCTAACATTTTTTCTAAAGGAATCTCAACTTTTCACACTTCAGAAGATTCATAGCACTTCAGCAGTACACTTAGGGATCATTGCAAGCAGTGACATCACTAACAAAAAAATACAAAAAGGAACAAAAAACCCAAACGCATGTTGTGGAAAAGCCACTTGTTTGTGATGTGGGAATGGGATTGAGAAGGCAGAGTGCTGTTGCCTTGTTCAGCCTCAGCTGGGAGTGGGTAAAGGGGCGTGACTTGAAATTTTGCTTCTCTGCACATGTGCATCTCTGTAAATGACTCCAAAACTTCACAGGTTTTAATTTGGAGGTTATAAATAAGTTTCACTGAGTAGATAAATTTGCATGGATTGAACCTGCAAATAATGAGAACTGACTATATATGCTCTGGGACTTTAAGCCCATGGAAGCCAATCCTATAGGATTTGGGGGAAGAATGAAGTGTCTTATCTTTTACAACACACAGGACCCTGTCCAAAATAGCAGCAAGTATAATGTCTTTCTGCAAAGGAATAGAAATTTTTACCATCATTTCTCTTTTTTCCTTGATATTTTCCATCTCTGGATTGTGCTCAGGGTCTAGCAATTACAGAAACATTTTTAGAAAATGAACATGTTATTATAAAAACTAAGACTACTTGGTGCTTTCTTAAATTTTTATTATTAGCTTTAGCAGTAAATGTTTTGGTTTTCAAACAACTGATTATAACTGTGAAAATATGCATATGCACAAAAATCAGAAGAAAACATGATAGTATAAACAGTGGTGGTGACAGAATATAAAATAATTTTCTTCAAAACTATGCTCTTCAATGTTGATGCTATGTGATCTCCAACATAAATAAACTTTAAAAACTTCAATTAAAACAATATGTCTAGAAGAAGAAAATGACCATTGAAAATCGTTAAACTCAGGAGAATTAATAACCTTTCATCATTTCTCTTTTGGAAATTCATCTACTCTGGGAAAAAAAACTTTTTTTTTTTGGCTATCCACTTACCCATCACCTCTCTTTTGCAGGAATGGTACCACACCATTCCTTTGCAGGGTGGATTTTAACATTCTAAGCCCTTTAGATGCTTTCATTCCTGGCACATATGCTGCCAAGACCAAAAGTAGAAAACTGTAATTGTAATAGTCAAGATGTAAATGGCACAGATAACTAGTATATTACCAGTACTGGTTCTGGGAACATATGATTTTATAAAAATTATCAAGCAACGTGTAATTTAATAAAAAATCACTATAGGAAAGGTCCACAGGGAAATTGCTAGCAAGAGTGCAAAGTAACTTCTAATAAGGTAGGTTGGGTATGAGTGCAACCTACAGCCTCTAAGCACAGTATGTGGTACCATGCATGAGCTAAAATGCCTTAGTAAGATTCCTGCTGAGGGCTTCAGCAATTAGTCATCCAGGTTTTGTTTTGTTTTTGGTACCGGGATCAAACTCAGGTCCTTGTGCTTGTAAGGCAGGTGGCAGAACCACTGAGCTAAATCCCTGGTCCCTAGTCATCCAGGTTTTATTGAACACACTTTATATGCCACGCTGCGTTGCATATGGCAGTTACCAGGAAAAGTCCCAACCCATGGTTTCAAGTCATCCTGCTTAGAGAGGCAGGACTTGGTTACCAAAGAAGCATGCACTGCACTTGAGAACTATGGGAGCAAGACATTGAGTTCCTACTGGTATCATGACACAGTCTAGGCACCAGGGACCCATTTGTGAAAAAGAGAAAGCTCTTGTCTTCATACATTATCTGTGGGACAGACAGGTAATAAACATGGAAATCAACAGGATCACTTCAGACAGATGAGGAGGAAACCAGAGAGAAAGAAAACGAAACCTGTAATGAAAGGATTTTATGGGAGGGTGGAGATGATGAAATAATACTGAACTTTATTCCACAGGTCAGGGGTGCTGCCATTCCCTGCCTTTGCTTCCATAACTGACACTGCCAATCTAACCCAGCACTGTCTCCCACTAGGGCCAGCAGCATCTCCAAATCAGGCATTACCATCAATTGCTGTTGATGTGTGACTTGAAGACTGTTTGTCAACATTAGGTTTTAAGCATGAGACTATGAAAATAAAAGTAGTGTTTTAAGCATGGGATGCAAGATAACTTGGAGGGAACTGAAGTAAGTGTCCCTGAGGCCACTTAAAAGGCAATAATAATTGTTGATAGTTGTTAAGCACTTATTGTGTGCCAGCCCTTTATTCATTTTCATCAGCTTCAAAAGATACATATCATTATTATCTTTGACAGATAAAGAAACCAAGATTTAAAGATGCCATTTTCCCAAATGGAGAAACCAGTATTTGAACTGAAGTCATTCTGTTCCAAGGGCTTGGCTCATTTCACTATATAATAGTGATATTCTAAGTGCAAGATGATAAGAATTTGGAGTGGGGATGGAAAATTAGGACAAATAATAGAAACATAAGGGAAATACTCATGGGAGATGGTAACTGATTCTATAATAGCAGTAAGGCAGGTGTAGGGTCAAAGATAAAGCCAAAAAGTGGGGGCCATGGCACATGCCTATAATTGCAGCTACTCAAGAGGCTAAGACAAAAGAATCTCAAGTTCAAGGCCAGCCTGGGCGACTTACGGAGACTGTCTCAAA